ATATTCTCAAAACACTCGTTAAGTTTGTTTCTATATCTGACAGCGGTTAAGGTAGAGTCTTGGGACATAATTGGCGTCATTGTGGTTATTCGTCTTTGTGTGGTAACTTTAGTGAGCCGCTTACAGGTGAGAATGATTCTTACGTGTCTAATTAGCAGGGGGAAATTTGGTTCACCTGAAGATTATTAGATACGTTAGTTTGTCTCTCTCTCTCTCTCTCTCTCTCTCTCTCTCTGTGGTAGTGTAAATAATAGCATAATATAATATATACTAGGGTAGTGTGGAGAGAACAGCAATGTACAAAATTAAACCAGATCAATATTAACTCGGTATTTCAACTCTCCTAAAAAAAAATCTTTAAGCACGTAGCCCCATATAGTAAACAACAGCCATTAAAATCTTACAGACCAAAGTGTTTCCCACGTTAACACTAGAACGAATATATTACACAATTTACCAACCCCCCAAAATAAGAGTGAATGAAAGTGCAATGCATGAATACAATTCGAATCAATGACATAATGTTTAAAAAGAATCCACAAAAAACGAAATGTAAAAAAAAAATATGTTATAATTCTGGAGAAAAAAAAATCTTGTGAAAACCGAGAGTATTGAGAAAAATTTATTCAGAATATGCTAAGATGTTACAAGGATTTAATTTTTTTTTTTATTAATTCTTTGTTCCAGAGGGTTTTATTTAGTCTGGAAGCGCAGGATTATATCTATTTAGAGCGCGTTTGATTCTGTTTTTTATCAGTTGTTTGTGTCAGTGGTGTTCAGTGGGGAGTCAAGCGGCTGATTTGTTGGGTGTAGAACGAGTGGAGAAGTGAACTGAGGGTGTTGTTGTGTTGTAAAGATGCATTGTGGTGTGTTGACCTGTTGTATTGTGTTGTGTGTTGCGCAATGTTGTGTTGTGTTGTCACTTATTGTTGTGACATTGTTGTGTTCTCAGCATAATCAATTGTGACATAATTAGTTATGTTTTTAATGTATTATCACATCATCATCCTACACACACGGTGTTACATAATCTAAGAGCGTGTGGTTGATCTCCGGCCATCAGGATTAACACCATGTCAATAAGTCGCCTCAACATGACATGACAACTTTCACCCCTCCACCAAAGGTAAGCACAAATCTTTCGTCTTTCAGGAAATATGATACATAGGAAGGTTCTTTGTGGGGAAAAATACAGTAAACAGGAAAATATGAAGGAAAAATCAGTACAGAAGGGAAAAATATATAATGAATTCACACAAGAGAAAGCATTATTGTTATTCCGTGGTCAGTTGAGTGAGAAATGAAATCAGTAAACAGACGGGAGGCCAGTGTGTAGGTAGAACCTTCCTTCCCTAGTGAGAGAACTCCTCCAAGACCGCACTGCATGGTGTATAACATCCCCCCCTCCTCCCTCCCAGACCCCAAAGCCCCCTCCCGCATCCACCCCAACACAGGTAATGACGAGAGGTAGTGGCCGCGGGCGAGTGGCTCAAGGCTTAAGGCGGGAAGCTCTCGTACCTGCCTCCGGATTCATAACAAAACCTAACAAGTAAAATTTTCCTCTTCCCCATAACTAAAAAACGAAGAAAAAAAAACAATAGTTACGATATATCTCGATACACTTTTGACACCATTTTTGTGTCATATGAATTGAGAGTTGACGTGTTCATGGATCTACTTTTATGAGAAAAGTTGCCTCACGAACCTTTCAAGATTCCAGCCATGACTGCGACACGGCTGCTGCACACAACCTCCACACACGCATTATGTTGTTAACTGACTTACCACACTACTTTTTTTTAGGACGAATGATACACTAATTATCTACATCTAGTTGGAAGATTCACAGCTACATAATTATATATAATTGCATGTGATTAATATCTAGCATAACTACGGCCTCTAATCAAGCCTAACAGAAGCAATTTTAGCACTAATAACAAGCTAATATACATATAAAACTTATTATTATTCACAGTTAAAATGTTGTCATCCGCATAAAAAAGAAAAAAAGGTTATTCTCTCGCCATGCTCTTGACTATAAATTATTGTCTCCGTCTCGCTAGCCTCGCCGAGTTATTTTTATATTCTATAAATAAGAATGGAAATAAGATAAAAATAAACTAATTACATCAGAGACCAGTGAACAATTTACAAAAACCTGCATTACAAGTTACTTTAGATATATTCTGAATGGGTACACACAGTATATGCATATGTACTGTATGTACAGTATGTATGTCTCCCATATTAGAAAATAGTAAAATCCTTTTCATATTGTTCCTTAAATCATATTTTACATCGACGTCACTCCACAAAGTTCAATGAAAACAGATAAATTAAAAAATATATAGAAGTAAATACAGTGAGAGCGAACTACTTTAGGCAGCGTTCACAACACCCAATACTCCGCCACACACCCCAGCATAGTATTAAAACAAATGATCGTGGGCCCTTCGTGCACGGTCGCGAGTCCGGTGGTACAGTTTACCAAAGCGTGAAAGTTCGAACGCACGTGCTTGGCTAGCGCGCAACCGCCGGCCGGCTGACAGCGTACAGCGACATCGTTTTCCTGCGTAAATAAAATGGTTAATTAATGCCTTTCTAAAGAAACCATCGACATGGGACCAGGTTTGTTCCACTCTGCAAATTTTTTGCGATTTTTCCACCAAGTTTGATGAAGAACGATTGCGCCGTTTTGGCTGCCCAGAACAGACACACAGACAGATAGACAGACAGACACACGGCTAGTCCTATAGTATATTAGATACAATGATTACAGAATTGACCCCTAAAATATCTTAAAGCTATTTATAAACTTAGCTATTATAATGAACATATGAAGGTTTAGAGGAGAGGAAGGCAGAAATGGCCAATGGTGATATTTTCTCTTTGTAAATACCTTTGTAACACTGCAGGTACTAAGTTGATATTTTAAACAAACTCACATGAAAACAATATATATGCTTTTACTTATTATGAATACTTTATGTTATGAGCTGTATTAAGGTGTATAATTATGTGTAGGCAGAATAAATGACAACGCTGTTTGGGAGGTGACAGACAAACAACTGGTGATAATTGGAGTAATTCTTTACGTCTGTCACGGTATATGAGTTAACAGTAATTTTTCTCACTGAACTTATCTGCAGTTATATAATGGCTTAATGTATTTATACGTGGATCTACCTAAACTAACTTATCTATATGTTTGGTATTTATTTCATATTGTTCTGCAAAATTTGTCCAGGAACAGAGCTTTTTTTTTGTCATTGGTACAACAGGATTCCATTTACGTTACTTCATGTTTTGTTTTCCAGGAACTCAACCTCGACGTAAATAAACGACTCACTATATTGTTTGTGGACCCGTTAAAGACAGCGCTCCACGGTGAGTGAGGGAGTTACTTCACTGTAACTCTGACTTGTGGAGTTCCGGATGGTTGAGTGACTGAAGTGCTTTTGTATAGTTGGGCTTAAACTTCTCGGACTCCCCCCCCCCCCTTCCCCCCTTCCTCCACCTCCAGAACCATCCGGATAAAAGTGGTTAAGCTCAGTTTTAGTACTGTTTGGAAAGTCAAGGAAGAGATAACATAAAACCTCTTCAGACTAATGTCCTTCGGGGTGATCGTTAACCTTCGCAATCTCCAAGTCAAATTTGTTGTTGAATCAAGCATAAATTAACTCTACCGTGACGAGCTGGAGCCAACAGATCACAGATGGTCGTCAAGGTCTGTGAGCCGAGGAGTTATTTTCTGCTGCTCTGAACTTTTCACTAATTGGCGATGAAGAACACAAGTTTTCTCTGCATTATGCAATACGTTATCCTAAGTTAGTTTCCAGAAATGTACAATGCGCATCCTCTCCCTCTGTTAGGTGTGTGTTGTCCGCAGGATATAATGAAGATAATCGGTGTACTTACCTCCGTGTGTTACTACAGAAGAGGGAGACGCCCTACAGCGCCAAGACAAAGATACGGTAAACATTACAATGACAGAAGCTCCATCCACCTCTCCTGCCCTATACTGTACTCATCTTTAACCATAACATCATGCCGTTTGTTGTTAAAATTATATAATAAAAATTTTAAACATAAAGTGTGATTCTCAGAACAAATTTTGATTGAAAAATTAAGTCAAAGATCACGTCACGTCATATTTTTCCTCCTTTGTGTTTGGAGCGCCTGGCTTAGCCCCAACAACCCCTGCGGCAAGCCACAGTTCCCACCACTCCTTACCACCGACAGCCTGGCTCACAGCTCCACACACACACACACACACACACACACACACACACACACACCCTTCTCATGCTGTGTAAACCCTGATCATAATTTAAAACACTTTCGAATATTATATAAAAACACACCGCGTTTTTAGTGCATTTTAATGTAAACGTTTAAGAGTTTTTACACCTCGCCATTCATAATTATTGTGTTGAAGCATTTTTGTTTCCTAAATGTTTCAGGGTTATGTTTCTTAGGGTCGGTGTTGCATAACATTAGGGAGACCTTGGTGAAGCTATCATAGTGATGAACGGTAATACCTTCACACGGTGGTCATGGTGGCTGGTGAGGTTTGTGTTGACTGTAGCGTACGGTAAGACCCTCCAAGGTGGCCCTCCTGCACCATCATGCTGGCGGCCACACACACACACACACCTAAATACTACTTAATGGTGTGTGTGGAGAGGGTTAGATTACCGTACATTAATACATAAAATCTATGAAGCTAATTCAAGTAAAATTCAGTTATTTATTCAACACTGTGGCGTCTGTCACACACTGGTGGCGACACGAGGCTGCTCAGCTGATCTCAACCGACCATTCTCCCGTACTGTAACAACCCTCTCGTGGTAATGGTGGCAATTTTGGTCACCCAACTACTTACTCGGTAGCATTTTTACACAACAAGTCAATCTTCTCTCGCGAAATTTCTCCAGCGTCTCTTCAAATCGCATAAGTTACTGCTTACACAATGGACTATCACGTGACTACTTTGGGTTAATAGTTACCTCAGTGGCCACCAGGCGTGTGACGTAAACACGGCCAGGTAACTCATCGTGTTTACATAATCACCTGATCATCTTCCGTATGCAGGTGAATCGACTGCTAGTGGCGTCACAGGAGAGAAATATTGTACCTAAAATCCCCAAATTGTTATTACTAGTACCTGTGTGTTGCATAGTAGACACGCTGGTAGTTGCTGGAGGCCGGGGTGGCGGTGACATAGGTAGGAGAAGTGACGACGAAACCCGAAGAAGAGACGACGTAAGTTGAGGTGTCGGTGACGTAAGAAGGCGTGGCAGTGACGTAGGTAGTGGTGGCGGTGACGTAGGGAGAGTTGGCAGTAACATTTGTAGACGTGGTGTTGACATTTGTAGTGGAGGCAGTGGCGTAGTTTGTTGGGATGGAAGGGATGACACCTAACACCACACGTTCGTTGGAGGCTGAAGGAGGCGCTGATGTTGAAGCTTTGGCATCACCATCACCACCAGTAGCAGTAGTAACAGCAACACCACGACGATTCCTCCTCACCACCCTGGCATCAGAGGTTGTGGTGATAGTTGCTGGGATAGTGGGCGTGGTAGTGGTGAGAGCTGTGGTGGTAACACTGGCAGGAACAGACGAATTATACCTCCATGAAGGCCCTGGTTCGGACGCCATGTAGAAACTGGGTACACTCTCTACCCATTCTATCCACTTGCCTCTCCCAGACATACTGACGAACTTTCAGAACTAAACAACTCTATTTACCAACATAATCACCTGTAACTAGTGTCGATTTTTCATAAAGGAATATATCTCTATTTCACTTCAGGTGTGTATTTAAACTAGTTACGTATTTCGAGATTGCCATGATATCTGTGGTCGTATCTATAACCAGTTTACTTTGTCAAGATGTTGTAGGTAATTCCGTGTTTCATTCTGTAGGTAATTAACACATTATTATTCAATATTTTCTTCCTTTAGTTGAATATCTCAATCAGAGAGATTTTTTAAGAAGCAAATTTTACCAATTCTTTCTCACCTTGACTACTAATTTGTTTCCTACTCCTCTTCCCGCTACTCCTACCCCTCCTCCTCCCGCTACTCCTACCCCTCCTCCTAAATTCTACTTCTACCCCTCCCTTCGTCTATCCCTCCTCCTCCCCTTCTCCTACCCCTCCTCCTCCCCTTCTCCCTACCCCTCCTCCTCATTCCCTCCTCCTCATTCCCACCCCTCTCGCTACGTCTCCCTCCTCCTCCCCTTCTCCTACCTCTCCTCCTCCACTACCACTCTCTCACTCTCCATCACTCTCCCTCTCCTCAACAGTACACTCACACAGCCGTAATCACCCCTTCCTCCTTCGTCCCTAAAACTTCTTCCCGAGGACCAAACTGGTGTGTTGAGGACCGTATTTACTAGTTGGCACCCCTCCCTCCCCCGTCTTCTTCCCCTCTTACCCCCCCTCCTTCTATCCCTTCCCCTACCCCTGTCCTCCCCCTTCTCTCTCATCCTACAAAAGATCCTCTCCAACACTATTGACCAGGTACTTGACTGTGTGTGTGTGTGTGTGTGTGTGTGTGTGTGTGTGTGTGTGTGTGTGTGTGTGTGTGTGTGTGTGTGTTAGGTTAGGTTGGGTTTCTTTATTAGGTTTGATTAAGTTAGTTGGGTTTGATTAGGTTTGATTAAGTTGGGTTTGTTAAGTTAGGTTAGATTAGGTTCGATTAGGTTATGTTTTGTTAGGTTAATTGTGTTCGATTAGGTTAGGATAGGTTAGATTAGATTAGGTTATGTATGTTAGGTTAGGTTAGTTTTCTTAGGTTAGGTTGAATTAGATATGCGTTAGGTTGGTGAACTAATCATTCAGTGAAATAATCTATGGGGGGGGGGGCTGATTTACATGTGACTAAACAGGTCACAGAATGAGGTCACTAAACAACCCTGACATCAAAGGTCAAGTCGCAGTACACAGACTATAATCCATCCCTATTATAACTTTTAATCCGCTCCTATTATAACTTTTAATCGACTTGATCTCTATAACCTGAACGCCTTAAACACACAGTAACCAATCAATCACGAACAAACACACACACACACACACACACATACTAACATAGCCGACAAACCTGATTTTTTTCTCACTCATAAAAGAATCCAAATAAAATGCTCATACTTGCATAACTACATAAAAAAAACACCTTCAATATCCCCCTCTACACCCACAACACCCCCTCTCTACACCCACAACACCCCCTCTACACCCACACCCCCCTCTACACCACCCCCCCCTCTACACCCACAACACCCCCTCTACACCCCACACACACCCCCCTCTACACCCACAACACCCCCCTCTACCCACAACCTACCCCCACCCCACCCACTGCTATGCGTCAAAATTTAGGTATCTATATTACTTATGCTGCCCAAACGCGACACAGGGAAAACCAAGTCTGCTTTAATATCAACCACTCCACCATGCACGACGGCCTGGCACACCTTCCTTCACCAGCTTTAAGACACTAACGGCTGGGAATACCTGTGCCAAAATATTCCGGTAACCACGACAGGAGTCTTCTCTCAACTGGTCTGTTATTACACCTCATGGACATCATATACGCAATATACCTCTCTTCTTTTCTCTCTCTCTTGTTCTCTTGTTCTCTCTATTTCTCCTTTTATCACCATTTATACTTCTCCTTTCTCTCTTTCTACCTTTCTCTGTCTCCCCCTCTATTTCTCCCTCTATCTCATTCTACATTTCTCCCCCTCTCTCTCTATTTCTCTCTCTCTCTCTCTCTCTCTCTCTCTCTCTCTCTCTCTCTCTCTCTAAACACAATAACACGACTTTAAGAGACTAATTGTTGACTTGGCAGCTTAAATAAGGCGAGGCCGGGCGTGATTACACAGTTACACCCTAATACAAGACAAACGTCTACACCTGCTCCTCGACCATCACACAACATTGAGGAGGAGCTTCACCACTGCCTCGAGGATGACATGCGTATAAGACACACCCTCTTTCCAGTCGGTGTTTGAGAAGGACCTTGTGATCCTTCTCTGACACAACACTGGAGCACACCGCACCGCCCGCCAAGACAACTCACAGAACACTAACACGTGACCTTACTGACCTCCCCTCTATATCTTTCTTAAATTGTGTTCCAGGATTTGGCTTTTCAGAAACATTACAGAGAAACTGATCTGAAAATCTCATACGATAACACTTTATTTACAGTTTGTATTTCACACTGTTAACACTTTTAAGTGGTGAGGTTTTTACCAATTGACACCTGTTTTCTGTGATTACAAATACGGTTTTTATTTTCTATTTTTCACAACACTTCTTGAGGTGCACAGTTTTTGTACGTTGTGAATGTCGGTACTGAGTGTTGGAGGCCGAGGTTGAGGTTGAGGTAGCTAGGCCTCCAGTAGGGCGGGACTACGCCAAGCTCCAGCGGGTCTCATTCCAGTGGTGAGGCAGAGTGAGGGGAGCCACCCGCGCTGAGGGGAAGCCTGGATATGCCAGTTCGGTCCAACGCGCAACCAACACACACACAGTACACACTTTACACGCTCTACACATACACTCACACACACACACATACTCTCTCAATCAACAGATATGTACTTCTACTTCACCACGAACACTAAAATCAATAAATTCCAATATAAAGCGAAATATTAGAACATTTCAAAATTGTGGCAACACCCGGCCGAACGTCAACAAGACAGAGGCACGGACGAACACACATGGGTCGGGATTTCCCAGCCTTCCAGATCGAGGCGTTTCCAGGAACGGAGAGCGTCGCAGCAGCAGCAGTAGCCCCTAGCCAGACACCCTGCTAACCATACAATGTCGTCATGTAGGAACTAGCGACCTCCACCTACTGCAGAAGAGATCCGTTAACTACTAGAACAACTTGTCTACCGGCTTGGGGAGGAGTGAATCAGTAGAAGGTGGACTCGTGACGTATCTTACTAGTAATCGATGTGTTGCAAGGCTGACTGAGGGAACACGATAGTCACAGGAATTTTGCTCGTCCTATTTAGCTTCGTGTTTATAAATAGGTTACTGCAGACAATTTACTAGCTTCTTGTACTAGCCTCTTGAAGACAGACTTACTAGCCTCTTGTACTAGCCTCTTGTAGACAGACTTACTAGCCTCTTGTAGATAACTTAGTAATCTTGAAGTTAACTAAATGTGCTCTTAAAGATAACTTAATGTTCTCTTAATGATAACTTAATGTGCTCTTAAAGATAACTTAATGTTCTTTAATGATAACTTAATGTTCTCTTAAAGATAACTTAATGTTCTCTTAAAGATGACTTAATATTCTCTTAAAGATAACTTAATGTTCTCTTAATGATAACTTAATGTTCTCTTAAAGATAACTTAATGTTCTCTTAATGATAACTTAATGATAACTTATTGTTCTCTTAATGATAACCTAATGATAATTTATTGTTCTCTTAATGATAACTTAATGATAACTTATTGTTCTCTTAATGATAACTTAATGATAACTTATTGTTCTCTTAATGATAACTTAATGATAACTTATTAACTTATTATTCTCTTAATGATAACTTAATGTTCTCTTAATGATAACTTAATGTTCTCTTAATGATAATTTAATGTTCTCTTAATGATAACTTAATGTTCTCTTAATGATAACTTAATGTTCTCTTAATGATAACTTAATGTTCTCTTAATGATAGCTTAATGTTCTCTTAATGTTCTCTTAAAGATAACTTAATGTTCTCTTAATGATAACTTAATGTTCTCTTAATGATAACTTAATGTTCTCTTAATGATAGCTTAATGTTCTCTTAATGTTCTCTTAAAGATAACTTAATGTTCTCTTAATGATAATTTAATGTTCTCTTAATGATAACTTAATGTTCTCTTAATGATAGCTTAATGTTCTCTTAAAGATAACTTAATGTTCCCTTAATAACTTAATGTTCTCTTAAAGATAACTAAATGTTCTCTTAAAGATAACTAAATGTTCTCTTAAAGATAACTAAATGTTCTCTTAAGGATAACTTTATGTTCTCTTAAAGATAACTTCAGACCTGTAGTTACGTCAGCGTGGTTAAGTCTTATGGTGTACTAAACAACCAGTATGGTCATTACGTATAGACCATACAGGGTGTAGTGTGGCCATACAGGGTGCAGTGTGGCCATACAGGGTGTAGTGTGGCCATACAGGGTGTAGTGTGGCCATACAGGGTGTAGCGTGACCATACAGGGTGTAGCGTGACCATACAGGGTGTAGTGTGACCATACAGGGTGTAGTGTGACCATAC